TTTCCATGATGGTTTTATCAGAGGGCAGACAAGTGAATCCCTTTCATCTGTTTGCCTAACACCCATCCACTTCCCTCTGGCAAACAACTTTGTCCTCTGTGCTTATGAGTCTATTTCGCTTTTTTTTTGTTGGATGGTTCATTTCGCTTTGCTTTTTAGATTTTGCATAGAAGTGACATCACTACGTATTTGTCTTTGTCTGACTTATTTCACTTGGCACAATAGGCTTTAGGTCCATTCCTGTTGTCACAAGTGGCAAGATCTCATTCTTTTTTTATGGCTGAGTCACTTGCCATTGCGTGTGTGTGTGTGTGTGTGTGTGTGTGTGTGTGTGTGTGTGTGTGTGGTGTGTGCATGTATCTTCACCCATTCATCTATTGATAGACAGTTAGGTTGCCCCCATTATCTCAGCGATGAAAAATAATAAATACATACATGTTAAATAATTTAAATGTATTAGCTATAGGTGGCTGGTGGTGACTGTGTTAGGTAACACAGCTCTGGGACCTTCCCATTCAACACACGGACCACCACCACCACATCAAGCTTCATTTGGAAGCACACTGCAAATGGATATTCTCAAGCCTCTCCAGGGCTTAGAGTCAGAATCATTGAGATTCCACGGGAGCACGCTAACGTTTGAGAGCGGTGCTGTACAGATGTTTCATACAGGCATCCCATTTTCCTTGGGCTTCCTGGAGCTGCCCTGAGCAGGGCACCCTGGCATCCATCGATTATCCAGTGAAGAAAACTCTACACATGCACCCGGTGTGCAACTCACTGAAGCTCCAGAGAGTCAGTTGATTTGGTTTCTAAAGCTAGAATGAAATGTGCTCTATGGTCTGTGGTGTCGTGTATCACCGTGTGGTGCATGAACTCGAGTGGGGATTGTTTAACATTGTTTTTACAGAAAGATGCAGCAGTGGACATGAAGCCGGCTCCCGTATGCTACAGATGGGGCATGCAGCGCAGTGTTGCTGTTGTGGTGAAGCCCTTTCAGGCTAACCATGCCCACGACTTTTCCCATGGTGCCATGCATCTGATGCCCTCTTGTGTAAATCCCACCCACCCACATCATCCCAGTTTTAAGAGCCACACACTGCGGAAACTGCAGTGCACCTTGAGACCCTCCATACACACGAGAATGCTCAGGTCACTTCTGAGGTAGCCGTAAAACCATTCAGACGGTAATAAACGTTGGGCTAACAACTGAAAGATAAATGCATCCGGGAGTTAATTATTCTTAGAATAATAATGAGTAACAATTCTGAAGCACCTAGTTTGTGCTGGCAGCTGATGAAGAGTTTGATAACATTAACCTCTTCACCTTTAGTGCAGAGCATGGCCGAGCGTAGGACAGAAAAAGGACACACCAGGGACCTGTCAGAAGGAGACGCAGGCTACGTGGAGGGAGAAATTCAAGCACTGCCGCGGGCCAGGAGATGGGTTTGCTGGTGGACGCTACAGGATGTATCATTATTTGGATCGAGACTAAAAAGGGAAGCAATCATTAATGACTTCCAGATTTTGCCTTGAGCAATTCTACATAGAAGAGGAAAATATTTGGAGGATTTTTTTCTTTTTAGGAAGGGGGATTGGGAATTGCAAGCCAAAGTCCTCAAAGTTCTGAAACAAAGCATATCGCGGAGCTCGTCAAAATGGTCACCAGGTGGAAGATGTGGCCACTATGCTATGGGCCTGGGTTGGCATTTCTCTCTGCTGGAGGTGAATCGTCATTTTTCGGTGTGCTTTTACCATCTGCGTCAACTGCTGGAGAAATTCTTCGTGCATTTCTTCGTGGTTCCCTGGGTCTCAGAGGAGCCCATCTATTCTCAGAAGACAGGTCGCATTCCACCGTGGCCAGAGCAAGCGGTCAACGGGGCGGCAGCTGAAGTTCTCAGCTCTTCCCAAAGACAGCGAGCGATGTCTGGCTCCACAGATTTGCTGACAAGTTCAGATTTGGCTTGTCATTATTCAACTCCAACCCAGACGTGCTTGCGGGCTCGTATTACAGGGAGATGTCTAAGAATCGGGCCACCCGCCACGTTGATGCAGAAGGCAGCAGATGGCTGGAAGTGTGGACTATCCCATATTCATACCCCAAGACCAAGTTACCTGCCATTCTGGGCCAAAGCTCCCATTCCCCTAGAATCCGGGCCACATGCTCCCGGCCTACCTTCTCCATCACCTGGCTGGGCTGCTGCCCATCAACATCACTGAATGGCAGCTCATTATGCAGCCATTCACCCAGAGCACCGTGGAGCCCCGAGAAGCGACATCTGCCAGCGGCACGGATCCAGGGTGGGATCATGGAAGAGATGACGGGATTTTGTGAGCTGAGCGTGCAAGAATGCGTGCTGGCGAGACACTTTTTAACATTTATAGAACATTTCCAAAACACTAAATTGGGTGAGTCCCCACGCCTATATATTTCACGAAGAGGCTAGACATTGAGAAATACCTGCGGTGTGATGTGGGAGGTTGTGGCTAATGGATACACTTAAATATTTGTGCGTTCGTATTTCTGCCCGGCTACCACACTGGGAGAGTAGGACCGCTTAGAAACGTAAGCAGGCCAAGGAAGCAATTATTGGTTGATGATTCTGAGGAGAAGAAAGATGCCCATAGGGGAATCGCAGAATATTTATTTAGACATTCTACTATAAGTAGGCACATGCATGACTTTATCTTTTGCCTGAAGTGTAAAACTCTGCGAGAGCTCCCATTTCAAAAGGACCCTGTAAAAGGAACCTTAAATTCAAATGACTAATGGAAAGAGGCCAGTCTGATAATGGGGGAGACTGTGTGTGTGCTGGGGGGGGGCCATGGGCATTGAGGAGTGTCTATACTTTGCTCTTCATTATGGTGTCAACCTAAGACTCCTATAAAAAATAAAATTTTTTTTTTTTAAGTATGGCAGAGATCATCTTCTACTCTGGTATATCAGAAAGTTCTGGATGGAGCGAGAAAGAAGCAGGCTGATGTACCAGAAGGCAGTGTCCCCAACAAGGTGAGGCTCTTTGCGTGGCGTCTAGCCACACAGCAGCTCGGGATGCCCCCGGAGAGTTAGCACCCCATGTGGGCAATTTCGGACTGGGAGTCAGATGGGCAATACGCCTGCAAAGAAGGCTTGAACAAAGACGCACAGCGTAATGGAAAGAAACACACGTCCGCAGAGACATGGGCAAGTCTAGTTAATGTGGTGCTTTGTCTTCTTGGTTCACAGGCGAGGGGAAAATTACCAGGAAGGGACTACAAGACAATCGCGCTGGATGTAAAATACAACCGGGGGTCACAGCGCCTTTACTTCTGAGTTACCCATGTGTAGGAGGAAGGAGCAGATTGACAGGGTGTGTGGCTGTCCCGTCGGAGTGCCAGGCAATAAAAACAAAATGCATGCGAATAGTGTAGACAGCCTGCCCACCCAACACACAGCTGCTGAATAGGTTGCTGAATAGTGTAGACAGCCTGCCCACCCAACACACAGCTGCATGCTGGAGCTGCTGCCGTGCCCACGACAGCCCAGAGCAACCTTCCAGGTTCCTGGAAAATGCTTTAGGCAGAGCCGAGAGGCTGGGAATTTCCGTTGTGCACACGGACGCGCTAGCCTGGTAAAAGGAGGTGGCTTCCCTCACCGTCCAAAGGGCACCTGCTGAATAGCTGGAGCTGTAAGGTACACAAAGCATTCTTGAGGCAAGGGAAATGTGACTTTAAAAACTGCATTTTGCCTGCAGGATTGTTTAGTCCCTGTGAACCTCAGGACACTCTTGACAGTGTGAGAACTGATGTAAGAGCCTGGAAATGCCACTTGGAGTCTGAGGTTTAAATTTCTTCATAAAAGCCGCTTATCTTGACCTCCCAGCTGACAGACCACAGGTATTTAGAATCATGCAAGAAAGGCTGGCCAGAAATTCCATGCACGTGTGGAGGGGGCTCTGCTCAGATGCAGTAAAACCAAAGACCTGTCTAGACACGGCACCAGGTGTTAATCGAAAGAGCTCGAATCTTTCACGGATGTCATGTGCATTAGCCCTGCCCTGAACCCCACGGGTGCTGGCATTTGTCTTTTCTGGGGCTCCTGTTACTCTGTCTCCTTTGGGTTGTGGATTAGGGTATTCCAGAGAAAAAGAGAGACAGAGACAAAGAGAGATAGACATAGAGACTGAGATATCAGGGTCTACATTTATCATCTATCTGTCTTTCAGCTATTATCTATCTTTCATCTTTCATCTATAATGTCTTTTTATCTTTCTTCCTGTCTAGCAATCTATCATCTATCTCTATCTATCTATCTATCTATCTATCTATCTATCTATCTATCTATCTATCAATCATCTTTTTATCTCTCTACCTGGTTAGTTATCATTTATCTATCTGTCTATCTATCTATCTATCTATCATCTATCAATTATCTTTTTATCTCTTTACCTGGTTAGTTATCATTTATCTGTCTATCTATCTATCATCTATCTATCTATCTATCTATCTATCTATCTACCTACCTATCTATCTATCCATCATCCATCTATCTGATCTATTTATCTAGTTGATTTGAGCAGGAAGGAAACATAATTTACTGTTATTTCCAACCATTGTGGAAAAGAAATGGGGTGGCTGCTCCCCTAGGGAGAGCTAGGAGGATTGGGCCCTTGGAAGAGGGCATCTTCTGAACACAGACCCTATTAGAAGGGGATGCAGTGGCCCAGGGAAGAGGACCAGGTTGCATGGCTCACAGACAAGAATGACAGCCCCAGGGCCCGTGGGGTAAAGAGGAACACCCACACCTCATGGGACCACTGAGCACAAGCAGTACCACTGCTGGCCGGCTCTGCAGCCCCGTGATGCCAGCACCAGACGGAGGGCTCTCCTGCGGCATCCGTAGGGGAACCAGATGCCTGCCCCATGGTGCCAGCTGGACGGTGCGCTCCTGTCCTGTCCCTGGCATGCCCACAATAGCCCAGAGCAACCTCCCAGCTCCCGTGTAATGATGGTAGATCTACCTGGAGAATTAGAGCCAGGTGCGCGTCCCAGGTGCCAAGTATCCTCGGCCAGAGAGCAGAGACTGTAAGTGCTGCGGTGCGGGCAGGTGCGTGGAAAGGAGGTTCTAGCTTGCAGACGTCGGACTGTGGCGCTTCTCAGCTTCCATAACCCCATGAGCCACTTTCTCCTCTGACAGCTCTCTTTCGACACCTGAAAATGATGTGACATTCAATTACAAGGGTCCATGAATGACGTTTTATGGGACACAACCACTCCATTTGCCTAGATAATCCTCTACATCTGCTTACTGCTTCTAGTTGCATCAGAGACCGTATGTACGGCCAAAAAGCCAAAAGAATTTATTCTGTGGCCTTTTCCAGAAAATGTTCTTCCAAGACACGCTTTGCATCTTTGAGTAGAACTCAGGACGGAATGAAAAACCTTAAGCAATGGATGACACTTATTTCTGCAGAGCCGTCCTGTAGAATTCTACGGGCATTATCCCTTTATGCTCTGCAAATTAGGGTCCCCCCTTCTTGATAAACTCCTGTAAGGGGATTTCACCACTGACAGGCCCCAGCAACGGGTGTGGCCCTAGAGTTCCCATTTTTCCTCTAGCTAGCCCCAAGCAGCTTGCAATGGCATTCCCTGGTCTGACTCATCTCCTTTTGGAAAACTCAGTCCATTAATTCTCCCTCTGAAAGGAGCCACACCATACCTTCTCCCTGCCAAGCTCACACCAACGGAGAAAACCCTAATTGCTAAATGGATGAACCACAAATACCAATTTTGCAAGAATATAAACTATGAACCCAATGTGCGTTCCCCACGACAGCCTCCCATTTGGTTTATAGAGCCCTGAGGGGGTGATTGAGGTGGAAGTTCCCCATCCTGGTGCCCCTCTGAGAGGTGAGCTGAAACCACGTAGGCAAACTGTCATGCTAGCACAGAATGGGATCCCCTTCCAGAATCCCCAAAGAAAACAACACCCCCTCACTGGTGAATCCAGCCACCGGTACCAGCTCCAGGTATGACAGGGGAAAACAAGAACTATTGGTTTCCTCTGGTCCTGGGAGCATCTTACAAATATTTCAATAACAAGATGCATTTTTTTTTTTAAATTGCATCTTTCCCTTCTGGAAAATGCCGTCAGGGATTAAGAAAAGGAACAAGTTCAGGTAAGGGCCATCAACACCACAGCAAGATTGGACAATTGGACTCTTCAGCCAGTGATGGTCCTGGGCTGGTTCCCAAGGCTGGGACTTAAGTGTCAACACTGAGTAATATGGTTGAACAAGTTGAGGGAATGTGGAAAAAACATGAGTTTGTGTATTCATGCATGTGCGTACCCCCAACACACAGTTTTTGCATGTACTGTACATACTGCTGAAGAAGATGTATAACAAAATAATATATAAGTAAATAACTGAATGCAATCATCTTATGTCTGGGATTAGCTGCAGATAAGTTTGGGGATTATAGGAAGGGAGTGGGTATGGAGATAGATGAAGCAGGATTGCCCTTGGGCTGGTAATTATTCAGCATTATGGGTACACAGGGGATCCAATATAATACTTTCCCTACTTTTGATGGTGTTCACAATTCCTCAGAAACATTAAAAGGTCATTTCATCATAACGGAGACTTTAGAAGGCAGAGTATTTGAACTTTTACTTTTCCACCCACCCTCTTCCCCTGTAATCTCTTAAAATAAATATGTCCCTGTCAAAGACAGTGATGAGATTTTAAAAAACAATTTACTTATGAGCTTCCTGGCAGCCAAAGGAAAAACTGACACATGTTCTGTTATGTGAATAACCATTTCCCAACAGTTCTTCCTGGGAAGGAAAGTTGTTCCAGTCATAAGCTCTGAGTCATAAATACCAAAAATGTCCTGAAGAATACCCCGTCAGTGAAGACAGGAACACAATTGGTAAAATGCTCTCTGCTGCAAATATTTTCATTTTGACACCCAGTGCTTAATAACAAAGTGCTGCTCAAAAGTAGCAATTCTGTGGAGAATTTCAACAGATGACGTCTAAGAATTCAGCTTGTAGATGGTCCAGGGTGAGATGAAAATAGAATCTATGCTGTATAGGACCAATGGTCTTTCAAGCCATCCTCCCCAAGTAGTGTCACAGTATAGATCTCAGGTGGTTGCTTGACCCAAATGAATGGCATTGAAGGTCTCTCCTCCTCTCTGACTCAAACACACAGAGACACACGAGAGAGAGAAAGACAAGTGTCTGATCTTCTGTACCCTTGGGTATCACTTAAGACCATTTTAGTCAAGGCAATGTCCCAATGTCAGCCTTAGAAGTCACTGAGCCACAGAAATATTTCCATCAGTCTCCCAGACGATACCTGGATTAGAGCAAGCCAATCTCTTTGTGAAGTATATGAGAAGTTTCAAGCAGAAGATAACTTGACGTCATTAGAACCACCGTATGGAATCGCTGTGCACGATCCTTCCTGGTCTTGGTGACCATCTGCCAAAAATAATTCCATGCATTTTAGAAAATGTATTGCAAGCTGCTGTTAGGATGACAGCATCCTTGAAGGAGCAATGGTCTGGTCACACCCCTTGATAATAGTAAATGAATATATTATTGAGATATATGTGCTGTTTTTATTACCCTTAGTATTGGGGAGGTGGAGCATTTTTTCACTTGCCAGGGAAACTGGGCTATTTCGCACGGTAAACTCCATCTGTGTCTTCATTGCTCAAGAGTGGAAACATGACTGCGATGCTTAAAAACTACATCCACAGTGGGTAAAATAGCTTAATAAACATCAGATAGTTATCGGTTACTGTATCTGTAGTGAAATAAGACAAAATTACATCCTGACAGTGAAACCCAGGTGAGCCTCTAGAAGGTAAATATAAGAAGATTCATACAGATGCATATGGGCTTGATGACAGGCCAATTCTAGAGTAAATTCCCACTTCCTGGAAAATCTGGTGTTTGAGAAGTTCACACACGTGCAATTTGCTTTCTGTCCTCTACCAGACAGAAGTATTTCACAAGCTCAGAAAAACTGGTCAACACACAAATTCAAGGGACTCTACAGAGCAATAATAAGGTTTAATAAAATTAAATACCCCATGGAGATCTATCATGGCTCTGGACTACTGTGAGATATCTACAGAACAATATAGGCAGCTGGGCCGATGGCAGATGTAGATAAGAAGTGATGGGTCTTAGACAGAGAGAGAATGGACATGGATAGATGAGAGATTTATGTATTTGGTAGATAGCAATGAAAGATTGATAGATTTGATAGATAAGAGAGAGAGAGAGAGGATTGATAGCTATGAAACAGAGTTCATATATCCCATATGCATTTCATATTCTATGAATTTATACAAATACCCACAAGCCATACAGCTAAGCCTCTGATGGAAAGTCACCCAACAATTAGCTGTTAGCGATTTCAATTGGTACCACAGTCATTGGTATATCTCGGTGTCATCTGTCAAATTTTAAGAACCTAATTCTTTTTAATTTCTCAGTGACCCAGAATTCTTAGTTAAAAAGAAGGCAGTTCCCCCTAAATAGTCACGATGCGTTTGAAAGGAACCCATAGACCCTCTGAGCGGAGGAGGGCTAGACTTCTCTGTTCTGTTCCGTTTGCCTAGAGCACGTAGGTGAGCAGGCTCCCGGGCTGGCTCACGGAGGGAAACATATCTAGGCGGTAAGCGAATGCTAGGTTTGGACACGGAAAGTGTCTAGAGGCTCCATGCAATTGAAAGTCATTTTGCAAAGCTGACCTCATTCATCTTTAGTAAAGGTTCTTAAGTGCCTGTTAGACTCTCAAATAGATACACCGAATGGAGGGACATCTCAGGCAATCATATTGCTGCATGCTCAACGTGCATTTGAAAATGATTTCCCTCAACACATTCTCCTTAGGATTCCATTCCACCTCTTCACACCTGGAATGGACGGATTTGCAGCAAGGCTGAGCTCTGACCCGGACAGCCTGCAAATAAGGTCGCAGTCCCAGGTTCTAGAGATGGAGACCTGATATCTTTGGGGACATTTATTGTAGCTATTAGAGAAACACATTGTCACAATTCTGAAAGGTTGTATTTTTAAAAATTATCCCAGCCCCATTACTCCCTGGGAAAGGGTGAGAATGCGGATAGAAAGCAACCACCTGTTTAATGCCATTCCTTTGCTGGAAAGACACAAGTGTTTCAGGACTCCAGTGGACTTTGGAAATCTTCCCCATGGAGTTTTATAGATGTTTGGGAGAGGCTGCAAGAGCTCAGAAGGACCAAGCGGGGCCAGAGCCCAGCCAGCACTTCCCCGTGCAGTCTCTCCAAGAAGGAGTTTGGTTGTCTTCAACAGCGACCAATCATCCTCAAGTTATCCTCAGCCCTGGCCATCTCGCCTCTCCCGTTTCCATTCTGCTGTCCTCTCCCCTGGAAGACAATACGAGCCTTCACAGCATTCCAGGTGGGCACTTTCTGGCCAGTCCGCCTCCTCGGGTGTGGCCTGCCCCTGGGCACTCCTGCACCGCATGAGAACAGCCCCACGGGGCCGGTGCACACCCAGCAGCCTTCAACGAGTCAGGGGTCCGAGATGTTCGTGCGTCACGTCTGCTGTGCAAGGAAGGAGACAATGCTCAACCGTGGAAACATGGAGAAGGAGACGCCCTTCCTCCTAACCAGCTTCTCCCAAACTGGTGAATAAATAGCCTCACTAAAGTAGGAAACACGCATAAACAGCTGAGGATTCTGATGAAACTGCAGGGGATGAGAACTTTTTTTTACTTTTTGCATGTGGAGCTTCAAGATTCTATCAATTTGGCATATTTTTGAAATAACTGACACATATTCAGCCTCCCATATGAACTCAAGATGCTTTTATTAAGCACTCTTATAGCTTGACAAAATACATATGATAGAGGACGCGGCATTTGATATACACAGTAGAGAATCTTTTTCATTAACTTTCCTGTCTTTTCCTCTATCTCCAGATAACATTTCCCAGGACATGGCTAACTTTTTTTTTTTTTTAGGTAATAAAGAGTTTAGCTTACATAAACTCCTTTGCCGATGAGAAAGAAATTTTCCACCATTAATGAAAAGCATATGCTGAGGTTTCTATGACATCAGTCTGATTCCTGTACCTTGGGAGTTCTGTGCAGTTCAAAAAAGGAAACAAACAGATCCCTCTGGCTTACTCAGCATGATAATTTACACCAAGGGGAACACACGCAGGAGGGCAAAACATGATTCATGAGTATGTTGAGGGACACGAAGAGATGGTTCACAAGAATGGAGACACCTTATAAAGACAGAGTATTGCTAAGGAACATGACACAGCAAGACAAGTCCGTCTGCGATGCAAAGCTGGCATCTCACGCTGAGAAACTGAGTGGGCAATGCGAGCGTCCAGCCCTCCCTCTAGCCAGTCTCCCCGGCTGCCCCTTCATGAGTCACGTACTAACCACAGGCATCTCCTGACCTGCTGACAGTCTCGTCCGCCCACTCTGTGCTCACGGTGAGGCCTCTGGCATTTTCTCCCCTTCCTCAGCCCCCAGGGACTGCTCAGTCTGACCCCTTGTGCTGAGGCTGCCCGGGGGGTACATGCCGTGATCTCATGTGCCTCCCAAGGACCTGCTTCCAAGAGCTTATCTCCTTTGAGCTGGTCACTCATCCCTTCCTGGAGCTCTGTTCTCCCTCCTGGCCTTCATCACCCTCCCCTGGTCTCTCTCCCTCCATCAGCGATCATTTATCACATCCTCTCCCCCACATCCCCGTATCTGTAAGCGTTAGCCTCGGCCAGTTTCTGTTTATGTAAGTGACCTCACCGACTTACGCGCCCTCACATATTTCCAAATGCAAATGAGTCCCCCGTCTCTGGCTGTGCCGTCGGGACACTCGAACCCCCGCGGTCTGACAAGTCTGTCCACTCGGAGGTCCCCGAGTCACTAAAATTCACTATATCTGCAAACACACATGTATGTTCATCCCCTCCCTCACTCCCTGGAGGTAAAATAGTGTCTCTACAGCCCTAGGGGCTTAATTAAAATCCCACCCTGAAGGCATTCTCCTGCTAAGGCTTTTGAGGCTGCTGAAAATTCCAGTGTTTTCTGCCTGCTGTGAGGAGTTAAGGTACAAGGAGCCCTTAGCTTATCCAGGATGGATAAGGACTTCATCAGAAGGTCATGCAACTCTAGAGGTGGCTGTCCGACTGGAACAGCTGGGACCCACTTCCAGGAGAGACAGACCTAGCAGAGAGACCTCCTGTTCTGCCTACATGTGGCTTACAATTCTATTCAGTGTTCAGTTTGGCCATCGGAGTCCTGGCTTCATACCCTATCATCCCACAGGGAGGCCAGGAGGGTCAGGGGCACCGGTGTTCCTCAACGAGAGATCGAGAGGGGAAAAAAAACCTAATTGAAACTTGCCAAATGGTCCTTGTTGCCGGCACCTCTGTCACTGGGCTGAAATTACAGGGCAGAAGGCGCTCATCACGGCCATTCAAATAGGAAAGATCGTTTTCCTGTAATTCCAAGCCAGTGGGGAAACAGCATGTGAATGGATGTAGACACCTATAAGGGTGTTTCTTGCCAAAAAATCACACCCCAAGCTGGACTGCTTGTCTTTGCTGTAATCCTAAGAGGTTTCCCTAATGGGCTTGTGAGTTTTACACAGCTCATTTTCTAACCCTCCATCAAAGGTGAAGGTCGGCAATCAAATAATTAATGTCATAAAGCAGATGTCATGAGAAAAACATCTGCAGTAGGAACAGACCAGGCACTTTATGCTCTTCCCACTGTAGAAACTATGCTAAACAAGGAGAACCGGAGAGGATGGCAAATCTATATTCTTAACTGTATTGGGGAAATGCTAATTTCTTCACACTCTTGGGGGCTGCATCCTTTTAGGGGGTCTCTCTTTCACTCCCCTCCCCAGCTCACCCCAAATGCGCACACACACAGAGTTTTGACCTTGATATAGTTGACTGTCATCTGCTCCCAATTTGACCAAAGGGAATAATAAACAAACAATTACATAATTCCATTCTGGGTTAAACTATAAAAATATTTGGTTTCCTCAAATAATTGCAGTCGGACCCTAGTGGATTGACACTGAGAGCAAGTAAACTGGAGACACATAGTGAGTATGAAATCGAAATCACAGTTAAATAAGATGTGGATGAAGTTGGCAATCCTCTGGTGACAGCCAGATGTTTCTGAAACACGCACCAGGTAGTTTTCCTTAAAGAGAATTAATAGCAGAGAAGTGTCAGGCTCAGAGAGGACAAAAGTAAAAACAACAAACCTGAAAACGATAGACAATGTGGCCTAAGGTTCAGGGTTGGTATGGTGGCTCCAAGATGCTCAGGAATCTAGACTCCTTTTCTCTCTCTGCTCTTCCATCGTTGTGGTTGCATCGTGGCTCAATATGGATGCTGAAGCTCCAGCCATCATGTCTACATCCCTGGAAGCAGGAATAAGGGAGCAATGAGGAACCAAAGGGCCTACGTTTCAATTGAGTCAATTCTTTTTTGGCAACCTTCCTAAATGTCCCACAACACGTGAACTAAAATCCTACTGAACTTAGTCATGTGGTCACACGTAGCTGCATGAACATAATTCAGGAGCTACAGTTTGCTTATTAAGAGGGGCCGGGGTGGTGTCATATTAACCCATAGAAAACTTGAGTTCCATTGAGAAGAGACTTTGGTATCAACCAGAAGTTTCTGTTCAGGAGGTCATGAAATGATCCAAGTTAGGGCAGGGGAGACATGGAGGCAAAGGAGATTTGTGAGTCAACGCTTGCTTCTGGAAGAGCTGACACATTCCTTTCCCCTTGGTGGACAAGTGAGTTGCTCACTCGGCACTTTGGGCCTTCGGTCCTCTGCTCCCTTCTCCTTACACACTCCCTCTTTGCCCTTCAGAAGAATACCTACGGGACAAATGAGCTGCATTTCACTTTAAAGAGAACATCTAGTAGGTAAGATTTATTTCTGAGGAAATGTGTCCTGTGGAGTAGAAGAAGTTGGGAAAGCGTGTTGATATGGAACATGTAAGGCTAACTCTTAGCATGTGGATAAAATTCAAGACAATAAACACAGAAAGTTATCTCATAATATGCATTATTAGGTCAATACAGTTTCACAAATTCAGTTTTGCAAGATAACTCTCCAGAGAGCGCCCAGCCCGTTCCACCGTGTCAGGGCACAGCACAAAGACATTATCCATGGACCACGAAGCGGGCTCTCAGCAGACACTGAATATGCCTGCACCTTGACCTCAGATTTCTACAGAACCATGAGAAATAAATGTATGTTGTTTATAAGCCCCCAGCCTATGAAGCTGTGTCACAGCAGCCCCAGTGGTCTCAGGGGGTTGGATAGAGCAAGACGCAGGTGCATCTTAACCAAGGTTCTTAAGTGTTGGGTTCCCATGAATTCTCACCAATGGCATTTCCTAAAGGCAGAAACCTTTGTGAACTCAAGACCCAGCTCCAGGGAACTCTGATATTGGATATCAGCAAGTGACACCTAGACTTTTCTCTACTGGTTTCTGACCAAATCTCACTTTCTTCCAGGAACAAGAAAATAGCATTGAAATAGAAGAGAAGAAAGAGAAAGAACCTTGGATCTCCTTGATATTTTTAAGGCATTTCACTAAGCCGTTCACACTCAGGACATCCCATAACCGAATCATCTCCTGGGATGGCCGCTGTGACCGTCTTCATCTTATGCATAAAGGGAACACAAGCCCCAAATGACTGGGGCCCTCCGCCAAGTTCCCATAGGTAGTAAGCAGAGACAGTATAAAAACTGGGTCTGTCACGGGACAAATGGCATGTAACACACTGGCTCCCAGTTTACAATCCGCCAAATGGTAACGAAAAGTTATTTCTGTGTATCCTCTCACTACGTGCATTTGCCAGCACTGAAATCACAAGAAGAATCTCAACTGCACAGTGGTTATCTCCCACGAGCGTGGGCCATCCGTAACAGCAATCATATCCAAGAGCCGATTGTTGCAATTGATGCTACGGAGTTCTCAGAAGGAAAACACTAGAAAGATGGTTGCTAGCAAAAAGCATCCTCTTCCCATCTCAGCATATTCTGTTTTTCAGTACTGCGCTTTGTGCAGTAATTGCAATATTCTAACGCACACATGGATGGTTGGCGCTTTCTTTCTCCTATTTAACAAGATGGGATGAGGCATCTTGAGCTACTCAAGTGTAATATATGTGCATGTGAATTTTAAAGACGCACCCACTTACTTATTTTACTGGCAAAACTTAGGTGTCAAGTCCCGGTAAGGTCGACGTGTCTCAGCCAACGCAAACACGTCTCAGGTGTGAGAAGACCCAGGTGTGGCCAAATGCCTTTACACTCCCCAGAATGTGTACACTGGCTCGTTACAAAGGCCGACACGCCAATTCTGTGAAAGGCTCGTAAAGTGTCACTTAAAATAAGAACATTGAGAGCGTGTTTTCAACGTAGCAAAAGCAACAGGGAGAAATAAAAAATGGTCGTCAACTACCAGGAGAACGTGATGAAGACAGAAGGTCCACTTGGACACAATCACAGAGGAGAACATATAATATTTTTATTTCAATAGCCAGAACTGGGAAATGGTCTGAAATCCTGGGACTGTGGCCTAAAATTTTCCACTTCCTTCAGCCAGACTAGAAACAGCATTGGATATAAAAAAATAAGTGAAGATTATTGCACCAAGAAAAATTCATCTATCGTAGCATCTGGTGAACTAAAGGCAGAATGGAAAAATCAGAACCGCGTCATTCTCCTAAGTCACCTTCCCAAATGCAAAGGAAATGGGGAGGGCAGTGTCTGAGATTTCCAAGGAGAGTCCACCTCTGATTTTCCTTTGAGGTACAATGAAGTGACTCTGCCTTGAATCTCTGCAATATTGTCCCCTTACAACTCAACAGCACCAGATTGAGACTGAGCTAAGAAGACGAGAAGCAGTGTGATCTGTGGGATACCAAGAAGATGCCTGTATGAGTTTCTGCCATAACAAAAGACAAGGGGACTTAAACAAGCACATTATTGTCTCCCAGTCCTGGAGGCTGGAATCTGACATCCAGGTGTGAGCAGGGCTGGTTCCCCCTGGGGGTGTGGATGCCGTCTTCTCCCTGGACCTCACAAGGTCATCCCTCTGTGTGGGTCCATGTCCTTATCTCCTCCTTTTATAAGGACACTAGTCCTGTGGGATTGGGGCTCACCCTGGTGACCTGCTTGCACCTTAATGCCCTCTTTCAAGACCTCCCAATGAGGTTCCATCCTGGGATACTGGGCAGGGAGGGCTCCAACATATTAGGGCTTAGGGCTATGTTTTGTGCTAAAACAGTCTGCGTACATCACTAGCTTCTACTCAGCCTGTCCCTATGGCAAAGGGGATGCCTGCAGAATTGGCCCTCACTGGAGAACACAGCAGGAGAAAGGATCATTTCATGGGTAAGCTAAGGCCATGAAGAACCTTCATTCATGATGGCTTCAACATTGGTACGCTGTCCTCTAAGTCAGAGGCCAGCAAACTATAGCCCACGGGCCCAATCTGGCCCACTCGCTGTTTTTTGTCAATAAAGTTTTATTGGCACACAGTCACATCCATTCACTGACATAGTTTCCAGGGCAGAGCTGAGCTGCCGTGGAAACCAGGTAACATGCAAAGTTAAAGATTATTTACTACCCGGCCAGGTAAAAAAAAAAAAAAAAATCTGAAAAAGGGTCATGGTTTAAAAAAAAAAAAAAAAAATGTACCAATTTCTGCTGTTAAGTGATGGAGGGTGGCTGGAAAAGATTTGATTCAAGAGAATGATACACTCACATTTACAGTTGTACGATTGCCCAAGTGACCCCATGGCACTGGACCAGAGGCCACTAACAGATGGCATCATATCTCAAGGGAGATGGGGATGGAAATGAAGGGTTTGGGGACATGTGTGTCTGGGAATATAGCACGGGGTTCTGGTGGCTGTAAATCTGCATCATGACATCGATGTAAGTCTGTCTTCTGAGAGAGAAGAGGGTGAGATATGTGTTTGCAAAGGTTTGCAGGACCCATGTGGACCCGGAAGGCAAACGCTGTGCATGGGCATGGAGAGAGATGCCCAGGCACGCTACAGACCTGGCAGGTGGGACACTGTTGATCCATAATAGGCAACAGTCTCCACAGGAATCTGAGCCCAGGTACAGCCTCCAAAAAAGGGGTTTGGGGGACTGATACCCCCTTGCAGGCTGTGGGCTGGTGATGTAGCATCAACGGAAGTGAGGATGTTGGTGGTGGGGGTCGGGGGTGAATGCTGGTCTGGGATGCAAATGGATGCAGAAGGAAACTGGAGCCCAGGAGGCAGGTAAAGCTACGGTGTCATGCTCAGAGGCTGATTGTCACAAAATGTATGATTCTGGAGATGATGCAGCCATTTAATGACAAGGAGAATCAAGATGAGGACTCGGCCACTGTCTGGTTTTCCCAATTTTTTTGGGGGGTGGGGGGGAAGCCGTGTGAGTGAGATTGCAGGATAGTCCCTGCAGGGGATGATTGCAGCTTCGCCACATGTATTCCCAGCTCCGAAGTGACTTTAGCATTCATCACACCTGGAGCCGGACTCAGAGACGCCTGCAGGTCCAGCCCGTGGAACGTGAGCCCTTCGCAGCCCTGGGAGGCAGGCTCCCAGGTCTTTGGTGAAGATGTGTGTCTGGGGAGTTTGTGGGAAGGAAGCATATGATATCTTGCTGCAGTCGTGCTGCGTCATTGCAGCCGTGGAAAGGTGGGAAGCCCTGACACGTGCACAGCGTGGACGGAGCTGAGCCCACGGTGTGCAGGGAGAGACGCAGACACCCGGGGACACACGCAGTGGGATCCGTTCACAGGAAATGCCCAGAACAGGCAGGTGCACAGACAGACGTGGGTTTGTGGCTGTCAGGGGCTGGGAGGGGTGGAGCGGCCTGCTTGTGGGAATGGGGTCCCCTTTGGGGGATGGAATATTCCAGAACTAGATAGAGGAGTTGGTTGCAAAGCTCTGTGCATGTACTAAATGCCCCCTGGACTGTTTGCTCTGAAATGGTTAATTCTGTGTTATGTCAGTTTTATCTGAACAAATTATTTAAAAAATAATGCAGTGGGAGCGGCGAGCTGACCCCAGCTAGAGCCGAGATAAACGACTACAACCCTTGCTGTCACCATTTAAACATGATCATTTTTATGTACAGAACACACAATGTATAGATAGATAATAGATACAGATACAGATACAGATACAGGTATCTGTAGATCGATGATAGGATAGGATAGACAGTAGGTAGACAAACAGATCACTAGATACACAGCAGATAGATGTTAGATAGATAGATGGTAGTCACTCATGAGTTTTTGTGAAATAAGCCTGGTATAACTTATGCTAAAAAGGGGGAGGACCACAGTAAAAAATCCTTCCTAGTCAAACGCAGTAAC